TGAGTGCTCCCTGGAAGGACAGATGGCCTCACGTTTGACTCTAGAATACTTTGGTATACAGAGGAGTTTGCAGTTGACTCAATGTCTGCAAGGTGCCCAGGTCTTGTGGCTGCAAAACACCCCCAAATCTCCACCGCCGTGCTTGACACCTGGCAGGAGGTCTTTGTGCTGACATGCTGTATTTGGTTTTTGCCAAACATAGTGCTGTACATTCTGGCCAAACATCTCCACTTTGGCCTTGTCTGTCCAAAGGACATTTGTTCCAGGAGTTTTGTGGTTTGTCCAGGTGCAACTTTGCAAACCTAAGCTGTGCCACCATGTTCTTTTTAGAGAGAAGCGGCTCTGTCCTTGTAACCCTTCTGTATTTTCCTATCATGTCTTTTTTTTACTTGTTAGGAATTAATCCATACATATGAAATTGGTACACAAAGCCTTTTGATTGGTAACATTAGAGGGCCTCCATCTAGATGCACCTTTAGTTCCAAGGACCCAAGCTCTCTCTCTCTCTCTCTCTCTCTCTCTCTCTCTCTCTCACACACACACACACACACACACACACACACACACACACACACACACTTTTTTACTATGTGATCACTTATCTCTGTCTAGACTTCAGTTAGTAATATCCAGATCACAACTAATAGTTTCTTATAGGAGGAGAATGTTTGCACAAAACCCAGTTGCTGTACGCAAGAAGGAAGAGTTAGTCCACTGCTATTGACCACTCTTGTAGGCCACACACCAATGAATATGCATCTCTGGCTGAAAATGACTACAATTTTTTCTTCAGTTTACTGCTGAAGAGAATTTAGCACATTAGAAGGCATTATAATTGCTCCTGCAAAAACTAACCTTTGCACTGGAGAAAAAGTTATTCTTACTGGTTAAGAAGTCATTGTTCCAGTTGTATGGTCCATGTAGGACTATTACACCCCTCCAATCCTCCCTCCTTGATTCACCAATTATACTTTTAGGGCACTGTGGCATTAAGAAGACTACATCCAACAAAGTTTTATTTGAAGACAGATATGCACCTTTACTTCAGATAAGGTTAGAAAGGTAAAAATAACCTTGAGTTGTATTCTCTTCAGTTTTAAAACACACTCTCACCTCAAGACACAATTATGTCAAAATTAATATGAGTGATCTGTCTGACAACAGATTCAATTTTTCTCTTTCTCTTTGTGGCTTCCTGTTCATAAGAAATCCCATCCGTAATTCAGACTCAGGAGCCAAACTATATTAGTTAATCTGTCCTACAAATGCAGCAAAAGAACAATGCTACATTTGGGTGAGAAGAGGAATAGAAGTCAGGGATATTTCAATGACTTTGGACTTATAATTAATTTTAACAAGTATCTATCTCAAAATGTGAAGGACTTTAAGAATTGTATTAATGAACAAGTCATCAAGTCTGCAAAATATGACTCCCAGTGAACCAACTTCCAATCACAATTGCAGTGCCCAAGAAACCTTGAGAAAGTCCTAGTAGATTCAGCTTTTTGTTAGCTTATTGCTCATGCTAACAGATGTTCAACACACTTTCCCAACAACATTTCCTCCCCCCCCCAATGATGATACAATACTCACAAATATTTTTTATTTTCATAAACATCATGCAGCTTTAAAACATGTGGGTGTTCTATCAACTTCAGGATGGCTATTTCCCGTTCCACCTGGAAAAGAAAAGACAAATATAAGAAATTATTGGAATCTGTGCCTTAGAACACATTAAGATGAACTATACATAGTTCTTGTTCTTTCCTATTCCTCTCCACCTCAAATAGGCAGAGATCTACACAAATCAGCACCTTCTGGGGTTAGTCATATTGTATATTATATTCCAAAAACAAAGAGGTGCATGACATTTAAAAGATTAACAGATTTATAATTGAGTAAACGTTCATATACTAGAGCCCATTTTATCAGATGTGTATAAGGAGAAAGACAGTAACTAACAAAAGTGATATCCTTATTTGGCCAGTAGATATGCAGATAGGTATAAAAAGAGAAATCATCATAATCAATATTAAAACCAAAACTTAACATGTTTCATGTTTTTACAATGACAATTACTTGTTAGATATACAGTATATATAATCTCAAAGCCTGGTACACACATTATTGTTTGAGTATGTTGTAAGTAATATCTTATGATCTCTGTTTGAAGTGCAAATGTAGGCCTAAATCCAATTGCTAGTGTAAATTAGATTCACTGAATAAATATATGTACATAAGTGTTGACTATACCACTAAGCAACTGATTCAATCCACTCTAGTGGATATTCACAACTGGATTTAGGTCACAGTACCCCTTCTTGTGCATCTGGAACAAACAGAAGCATATTTCATAAGATTTTGGTCAAACTACTCCCTCCCAGTAATGCTACTACCTGCAGATTCACAACTCCCATAATAAGTAAAGTGTAGATTCACAGCTGAAAGGCTCAAAACAGCAGATCAGCTGAGACAGACTAAGACCACATGTAGTTGGCTTTTTGTGCAAGTCAACAAAGGTAAAGGTTCCCCTTGACAATTTTTGTCCAATCGTGTTCGACTCTAGGGGGCGATGCTCATCCCCGTTTCCAAGCCATAGAGCCAGCATTTTGTCTGAAGACAATCTTCCGTGGTCACATGGCCAGTGCGCCCCCCAGGCGGATTTAATCACGTCCCTCTATATCAGACAAAACGGGAAACTAAAGCTACAAACCATTTACAGACACTACAAATTCTGTCTCCTCTCATGCTAAGAAATAAAGGGGGAGAGATCAGTGCAGCTTGTGTACATGGTAACAAACCACAGTTTACTTCAGTCACCCACTGACTATGGGTGTGGGATTTATGACACTGGTCAGAAACTGAGAATGCCTGAACACACACCGGTCCCTACTGTGCCTCGTTTTAACTTGTGAACATTATGCAGTTTACAGATTTGTGTCAGCTCTTCCTGTCTTGTTATGGAAAGTTGTATTCCTCAGTGGATGAGGAATCCTTTAAATGATTTTCTTTACTCCTGCCCTTTATGCATTTACAAGTTCCAGTTACTTTATCTCAGTGAATTTACTTCCTATCACATTCACACCACCAAAAACTGACATTCAAATTCTGAACAAAGAACAACAATAAGATACTAGAACTCTTCTAACAATGTTGCTACATTTAAATTTGGGGTGGGCGAGGGGGCTAAACATGCATAAACCACTTTTAGCAGAAGCAGAAAATGTTTTGGCATTCTTCCCTGCTGAATCAGGAGTCTAAATTAATTCTGTGCTTGAGAAATCAGCAAGTACCTCTTTCAGTCTGTTTTACAAATTGAGCAGTTATAGCTGGATCCACAGGTCATAAAAAGCACAAGGGCAGGTACTGTACTCTTATGTAATAATGAATTGCTCATGACCTCATCACATTGTCCTATGAACTCAGAAGGAAACTCATAGGGCAGAACACTTGACTGTAAAAGGCTCTGGAAGGTACACCCTTTCATGCTGTACCTTCCAGAGCCTTTTAGCAACAGTCAAGAAATATGGCTGGGTCAGAGAGGCCCTCTGTGGCAATTTCCTCTGAAGCCCCTATCCCCCCAGGGTTTCACGAGGTTCTCACACCTCTTCCTTCTTCTCTGCCACCAGGTATTACTGCTTTAATACCATTTAATCATGGAGACTTGTGTGCTTTTAAAACTTAAGTCATTTATTAGATCAGGGAATTATGTGATTAATATTCAATAGGTAAATCACAGGTTGCAAAATCACTAGTATTTGAATCCAAACTGCTATAACTTTAAACTTCTTTTAACTCTCTATTCCATTCATTGTTCTCACAGATCTCTAACTCACTCTTGGTCCACTTTTAAGTTTCACACTGCCTCTCCCTACCAGAATCTATCTCAGACTCCATACACCAGTCTTTATATCCAGCCCTCTCCCCCCTTGGCTCCGCCTTCCATCCACTCATTGGCCCCTTCTCCACTGTTCTCATGTGACGGACATGTGACGGCAGGACTGTTCATTACACACTCACTAACCACTTAGAAACACTGCCCAGTATTTCCTGGAGGACCAGATGTGCTGATGGTTGGGGATTTTTTTTTCCTGCTTGGTACCTTGCTCAGCCCTTTCAGTCACTCTGGCTACCCAATGCTCCAGGGAGTTACCAAAAATTCACAAGGTTAAAGATTTAAGCCTGTACACCAACCCTGACAGGTAGGAATATAATATCCACAAAATGTACAGTATCCAGTAGGTGATTGAGGTCAGGCATTTCTTTAAATACCAACAATCCTCTTTCCCCCAAATAACCAAACTGTTGTAAGACATCCATCAAAGCCACCCATCGACCACAGTGACAGATAATCTCTTCCACTTATCACAACAATACATCCACAACAAAAACACGATGATCACCACAATTACCCATCTCCTGAAAAGGACAAAAGCTGTTCCCACAGCTATAAATATTCAACTATCCAACAAATAGCAACAGAGTATGGACTGAGTTCCTACTCCAGTCCTCTGAAGATGCCGGCAAGGTCAGGAAGAAAAACCTTCAGAACACAGCCAAAGAGCCCAAAAAACCCACAATAACCATGTTTTAATTTTAAAAAATTTTTCAATGAAGTTCTTGGGAAAAGACGTTTCCGAGAAGTCCTGTGCAGGCTCAGTATAACCCAATTGTGTGCATTCACAGAGACCACGAAGAAGAAGAAAGTTCCAAACAGTTTCAAAAGATAGTTTCAAAAATTTCTAAAGCAGTCAAAAAGTTGTAGAGTAAATAGGCATTCAAAACATCTTAAGCCAAAGGCAATTCCAGAACTGTTTCCACAAGAAAATAAGAAAGCTGGCTAACCTAAGCTAATACTCTTATTGAAGCAGAACTTTGGCATGGCTCCAAAGCATATGCAGAGTACAAATCACGTAGCAAAGCATAACATTCTCCAGAGAGAGATTAGGATAAATAAGTAAACTCTATTTCTATTTTATACCCATCATTCTATTTTCTAGATCCTTCCAGATAATACACCAATTGGGCCTCAAATTGCCCCAAACCTTCTCAGAGCACGTTCTCCAAAGTAACTTCCATAGTGATCCTGCCTCCTCCCATGTCTTGTGTCCTGCCTGTTACCAAGATATTATGCCTCTTCTTGTTGTTTGTTTCATTTCTCTAGTTGTTTTGTTTATAATTTCATACTTCTTCTAGTGTACTATTTTATCATGCTGTAAACCACCCAAAATAGTGCATTTAATTAATGGGCTTGTATAACAAACAACCCCTTCACGGATTGCTGCCTTGTCATGACAAAGGGGCTTGAGTAATTCAGAGAAGCTATGGGCTATGCCGTGCAGGGACACCCAAGACGGACAGGTCATAGTGAAGAGTTCTGACAAAGTGCAATCCACCTGGAGCAGGAACAGGCAAGCCACTCCAGTATAATTGGCAAGACAACTCCATGGACAGAAGCAAAAGGCTAAAAGATATGATGCTGGAAGATGAGCTCCTCAGGTCAGAAGGCATCCAACATGCTACTAAGGAACAGCAGAGGACAAATACAAGTAGCTCCAGAGCTAATGAAGTGGTTGGGCCAAAGCCAAAAGGACGCTCAGCTGTGGATG